ACCCACCATAGTGCACTTAAGCAGGCTTTCATTCAACTGCCACTTAGTATGGGTTATCAATATGCTTTTAAAAATATATATTTATTTTTTATTATTATAATCCTCACCCAAGGACATTTTTCCATTTATTTTTAGAGAGAGTGGAAGGGAGAGGGAAAGACAGAGAAAAACACTAATGTGAGAGAGACACATTGATTGGTTGCCTCCCACATGTCCCCAACCAGGGCCAGGAGCCTGCGACTGAGGTTTGTGCCCTTGACCGGAATCGAACCCGGGACCCTTCAGTCCACGGGCTTATGCTCTATCCACTGAGCCAAAATGTCTAGGGCAATATACTTTTTATTGATTTCAGAGAGGAAGGGAGAGGGAGAGAGCGATAGAAACATCAATGATGAGAGAGAATCATTGACTGTCTGCCTCCTGCAGGCCCCACATTGGGGATTAAGCCCATAACCCAGGCACATGGCCTGATTGGAATCTAACCGTGATCTCCCGGTTCATAGGTTAATGCTCAACCACAGCTGCGCTGGCCAGGCCGCAATATGTTCTTGTTGCATGTACATTTTCCACATGGATTGAAGCCTTGCCCTACCACAAGGCCGACACCTTCACAGTGGCAAAGGAACTGTTAGAAAAAAGTATTTCCCACGTGGGGTATACCTTCCACAATCTCTAGCAATCACTTCACTGAGAAAATCATACAAACCTTGACAGGAAGTCTTCCAAACTTCTTGGAATTATCATCAGGCCAGGTCTACAAACTAATGGAAAAATTGGATTCAAGCAGAACAAGTCTTAATTACATGAGACTGAATGAATTGATGAGGATGATTACAATTTTTAAGACTTCTTGTTTGAAACATTGCTAGCTCTTTAGTTGTTTGTTTTTTTCCAGATATAAGAAAATGTCCTCTTACATTAACTATGACTTATAGCAATTTGGTAAATCATACCTTTATAAACAGAACCGAAACATCTTTTTCTTTCTACTTGATCTCTTCAGAATTCAGAAATTCTCAGTGAGTATTCTTATTTTCATGGCAATATTGCTTTTTTGCATAAATTCAATAAGAAACCGTTCTCCTTGTAACACAGCACTGCCAGAAGCCGGTCCATCCTTGTTGCTTGACACAGTCGCTACAGAGAAGAAACATCTGCACAGCATATGTTTCAAGGGACCTGGCATACTGTTCTTAATATGTTTGCTCCCCTTCTTAGCGCTATGAGGACCACCTCCCCGAGAAAGGTTGTTTCCCCAGGTGGGGATTTTTCCCTGGAGTTAGGGATTAACAGGACTAAGGAAGGGAATAAATCAGTAAAACACCCTAGTGTTACAGAAATACCATGTACTACTTATGAAGAACTTGGACTAAGACTGTTGGCAATAAATTTGGGACTTGTTGGGCCCACATCCCAGGGGTCTGCCCACCAGGGAAAGCACCAAAGCCTATACCCCTGAAGATCCACTGACACAGGGCAGTCCAAGGGAAGGCAAGCAGCGGGGCTGGGAGGACATAACCTTTACTGGGTAGAATAATCTCCTTCAGTCACTTCCTTGTAGCTTATCAGTAGAGCAGTAGAATAGTGACCTTGGAATAGCCCTTATAGTGGAACACAGAGATTAACGTAGACAAGATTAAAATCAACAGAACTAGATAGAGACAGGATTTTTGGCAAAGGTCAGATAAGAAACTATGGAAATGAAACAAGTTAGAAGGTTATGAAACTAGGTAAATGAAACTGTAGAAGGTTACCCAAAACATACCATGATGTGATTATAGAGGCATGCTTATAGGATCAAATGGTATAAAATACAGATGTAACAGGACAATAAAGAGAGAACCTATCTATGATGATCATTGGAATGCTGTCTCCGAGTCCTTTATTCTTCGCCAACTCTGTCCACACCTTTGGGAACCCCTGGACCTGTTGGGGCTGGACCCCAACACAGCACAAATGGAATCTGGGTATATTACCAGTGCAGTATATTTTGGGGACCTCAAGAAGAGAAGAGTTAGCCCAAATCTAAAGGTATTGCAAGCAAAGTCTGATGGCAAGTTCTTGGCTTGGCTTTTCTGGCCTCAAGAGGCCATTTAAAGTTCAATCTGTAGGTTCCTAATGAAAAATTCCAGCAAAGCATATTTAAAAGAGCCTATATGATAAATTGCTATTCTTGTCGTAATTATACAAACAACAGGCCAAGTTTATTAGACTAGACTTATTTTGCAAACAAATTCATCTTAATTCAGCTATCTTTGGTAAAAATGGAGATATTTTTTTCATTGATTCTAGAGAGAGAGGGAGTGAGAAGGAGGGAAACATTGATTGGTTGCCTCCCATACGAATCTCAACTGAGAATTGAACCCGAAACCTGGTTTGTGCCCTGATGGGGAATTGAACCCAATGCCCTTCCCTGCATGGGATGATGCTCTAACCACTGAACCACACAAGTCAGGGCAAAACGGAGATGAGTTTAGAGGGAAAATTATGTTTCAGTAATACTTGTTTGTGGATATTGGATTCTAGTAATGTTCATTGTCTTTTGGGGTTTTTGTTTTCTATCCATAAACTGGACTAGATGCAGAATTCTTCTAATTTCCTCCAGTATCTTGCTATGACTCTGCAAACTAATGATTCTAATTTTTCTGCCACCCTTCTAACTTGTAACCATTGAGAATTAAACTATCCTTTTCCCAAATCCATGCAAGCTAAAGTGTGACAACTTGTAATAAATTTCAGAAAAATCACCACATCTCACATATGGACAATCTTCATGCCTGTTGTAGACAGATCACCGGAAACATGCAAACTGTAGGCAAGAAAAATTTATCAGATTAACTGCCTAACTTCACTCCATCCAAAGATGATTCCTAGACAGATATCTAGAAATCTTCTTGAGAACTCAGAGATGGGATTATAGTCTGCTCTAAGCTTTAACCATTGTTTTTCTTTTGTTTACATAGATATGCTTTTTATTACATTCTTGATTGCTTGCACCCTAGGCCTCCCTTTGGGAGCCCACCTGCATTACTGTCTCCTGAAATGAGACACAGCTGTTTAACTGAACTGACCTATTCTCAAGACTGAGACAGGTTTGGTGAGATAAGGCACAATCTATCAAACCCAAATTCTGGAACGTGAAACTTCAAAGGTGGGACTCAAGTCTGTCAGAACAGGCTTCTCCAGATAGGCCATTGTGGCATGTGAATTATTTTGAGCTGAAAGCAATAGAGACCCTGTGGGCTCAGGAGAAACTTTTACCCCCATCCCTTAAAGAATTTAAATTGAAGACCTTGCCTATACTAAGAGTTATTACCAGATTTAACTTTTTACAACCTATCTATAGGGGAGGCAAACATCTAATTACTCAACATCTGCTCTTCTTATTGTCCTGAAAATGACCCCTTTGAAGCCCCAAGGCATCTTACCTCATCCTAAACCCAGAATACCTCATATAGCTCATTTTAACTGTCTCTGAACCTTTCTTGTGTGTGTGTGTGTGTGTCTGATTCTCTCATGTATATGAAGTTTCTATACTTACATATATCATTACATTTATTTTCTCTTGTTAATCGGTCTCATGTCAATTTAATTATTAGACCAGCTGAAATAAAGTTTCTTTCTCTGCCCCCAGTCCCCAGAGCCTAGAGTCTCACTAACTCCCTTTTACATAGAAACAGAAAGTATTTTTGTGCCCTTAAATGTCAACTAACCTTCCAGAAATGCCACTACCATGTACATAGAGGGATGACTGTATTTTGTTTTATGAAACTTAACCAAAATTGGTTCAATTCTAGAAAATTTCATCACCCATAGATACTACTACAATGGTAGCTGTCCATGCCTGATGATTTTACCACTGGGTCCCAAAATTCTGAAAACTTCAGAATGTTTTCTCCTGTATTTGGGCCCAAACATTTACATCCTGGGCCTATTATATAACTGTAATTTATTTTATGTCACCTTTATTCTACAATTAAGCAATGCATTGTTTATAAACACTGTGCGTGTGGGCGGGTTAAATTATCTGTGAGTTCTATTGCCGCAGAGGCGAGCTGTTTGCAATAGCATTCGAGGGGCCAGAGGCCCTGGGGTCTGGCGCAGGCCGCCCCGCGGAG